CAAGGTCATCGGCGTACCCGCTTCCGTGAGGGCATCGAAGATCAGCACAGCGTAATTGTACGGTGGCTTTGCCAGATCCTCTGGCGTGTAGGCGGATTCGGGAGGGTAGTTGGGAGAGGGTGACCGAGAAGGTTTGCGCTTCTTGACCGGAGGAGCCTTGATGAACTCCTCCGGGCGTTGTTCCATAGGAAATGGGCCACCTTCAGTAGAAGGCAGGGGATAGTCCATGAGCGTTCCGTCCGGCTTCTTCCGCTTGGTGTACTTGCGCTTTTCCGGCTTCGACCCGGGAGACTCGCCCTCGCCAGGGAGGCTCGGTGTAGCGGCTGCAGTGCCCACCGTTGATGTGGTTGTGGTTGTCGTCTTACCGGCTTTGGGTCGATTCAGGGAAGGAGGAGGAGTGACGCCTCCGTTAGCTTCCCGCTTGGCAGCCAGTTTTTGCTCCCTTGCCAACTCTGCACGTTCGCGCTTGGACATGATGCCGTCTTTGGGAGGTCGCCCAGGACCCCGACGACGAACAGGGGCCTGAACGCCGTCTCCGGTGCCTTCTATCGAAGGTACCGGTCGTGAAGGATCGGGTTCTTTGGTCTTTAGAATGAGCTTGGTCGGCTTGGATGAGTCCCTGTTTTCAGCTCCTTCGCTGGTACCCTTTTCCGCAGCTCCTTCTGCCTCATTCTCGGCGCCGACAGATGCCTTGGCATCCCCGTTCTCTTCTATCGATGGCTCCTCAACTCTGTCGGCTCCAGTCTCGCCAATCGGTACATCTGGCAGCAAAAATCGTATGCGCACTCCGCCGATTTGTATGTAATCACCACTATGCAAAGGACGGACTTGACCCGGCGATAGCCAGTCAGCACCGATAAAAGCACCATTTCTGCCCATCACTTCCATTTCAAACAGGTTCTTATCAAAGTTGTAGGCAATCTTGACATGTTTACGTGAAATGCCTCGGTGTCCAGCAGCACTACCGTCAAGAGTAGCAGGAGGGTGAATGGGGATGGTCGGGCAAGCATCGGGCGAGGGTAGGAGAGCGAGTGCATCTACAGGCTTTGCATCTCCGTTGGTTTCGTGCAGCGATTGCATCGCAAGCGCATTGTAGTCAGTAGTGGATTGGAGTTGAGCCGGCGTCGCATGTAGCGGAGCGCCCGCTTCAGAGGAGTGTGACGACCTCCGACTGAGACGTTTAGGAAGATGAGCAGGAATGTCAGGGTCGAGTCCCATGATACCACCTCGGTCGCTCACAACACTTCCTATCATGCCACTGCCCTCATGTTTTACACGAACCGGCGTGTGCGATGCATTGCCACCACTCGAACTTTTCGCCCTCGATGTCCTGATCGCCTGCCTGGCCTGAAACTCCCGCTGATGCGCCGCCCGAGCTGCTCGTACGTCTCGGCCCAGGATGAATGAATAAGTATTGCAGTAAAAATGTCCGTCGTCGAATTCTAATTTGGCAAAAGCCTGGATGCGCGGTTCCGATCCACCGAGCGAGCCTGTACCATCGTGCAAATGGCCTGCTGAATACCCCAATGCTGAGAGGTCAGCAGACTGGGACAAATAGGCCGAGGTAAGCATCTCATTGTCGAAAGGGTTCTTTCCGGCAGATGCGAGATCGAAAGGTGTGAAAAGGTCAGAGTCGTTCAGGCCCGCCTTGGAGAACATCATAGGATCCGTCAAACCTTCTGCAGGATCCGGCGTCTTGATTACTGCATCAACTCCATGATTCCCAGATTCCTCGGATTTCGGAAACGACATATCAACGGGTTTATCTTCGCGATTTTTCTCTCCATCCCGGGGCAAGCGTGGTAAGTCAGTTGATGCGGAAAATTGGTCTTGGCCAGCGGCCGACTCTGCGGGCGCAGAGATCTCTGTAGATACGCTGGTCGATCCCTGGCCACCCGCAATTTGATCTGAGGGATTATTTTGAGAGCTTTCGGTCGGATTGGGAGGGTTATTTGTCGAGGTTGAGGATTCTGCAGGTTGTGTTTCGGCGCTGGCGGGAGGCGCAGAAGATTGGTTGCCGAGGAGTTGAGCCAGAAGGGCGCTGGCGGCGGACTGACGGCGGAGATCGTTCTGATACTCTGGCTGAGTGCCGGCGAAATCGTTTCCTGCATCACTGGGCTCKGACTTGATACCATTCATACCGGAGACAGAGGGTAAACCGTTGGGAGGGGAGACAGGATTGTTAAAGGTAGAATCGTGCAGAGCGCGGCTTGCGGAGTCGCTGCGCGGGGAGAAAGGGCCGTTGTCTCGCTGTTGCTGGTGGTTCTGATGTTCCTGCTGCTGCTGCTCTTGGCCCTCTTGGTGATGATTATGGTGCGTGCGGCCATAGTCGAACAGGGACGACATATCTGGACCTGCATCAGGAGGTCGATGGCCCACCGCTGGCGCTGTCATGGTCTGCGACGACGACATGACAGGCTGCTGGGTACTTTGGATGCTCGATGCTGTCTGGAAGGAGACGGGCAGGCAGGGAGAGGAGAAACAGGGCGGTGAGAAGAAGAAGCCATTCAGAACAAAAGTTGGGCTGGGGAAGAATGGACAGAGACCGATGCTGATTGGAAGGGCAAGAAGTTTTCTGCTGTTTTTTTCTGCCGGTTTCTCGCGGTGCTGGCCACTGTCGTTCACCGTAATCCCCAGTAACACATGCTCAGGTATCACCACTAACAAGGAGCAATCACTCAATTACTTTGGAGTTTGTGCCTACAAATATTTTATCTTGATCTCAGATCAGTCCTGAGGATTGGCACAGAAGAAGTTGGCATAAGGACGAAAACTTCATGGACTGTAACGCTCATACTCTGGACTCTGTAGAGTATGAAATTTCTTTCTCGAGGCCCGCCCGCCCATGTTTCTTTCGCCTGAGGAATCCACTTCTTCATTGCTAATTCGTTGAGATTATTGAGAAGACTCAATCCTATCCTATTTCCCACCTCTGATTCCATGGTCCTAGAAGTGAACTACGTGCTCTGAGGTTTAGCTTTTCTGACTATATCTGCATGGCCATGTTGTGCTCTATGCTTGTTACCAATAGTAGAATGATGAAATGAGTACTCCGTACTCGGATAGATCCATCGCTATGTTCGTGGAATCGATATGCGACGGAAATTTCGATAATGGTTGATACATAGGAATAGGAAAGTCATCAATCGAGTAAAAAGCTCTTCAATGTAGAGGACTAGATGACTATACACTCCTGATAGAGGTCGTCGTTCATCCTTTGAAGCTTCTACTTCTACTCCTTCACCTATTTCCACATCGACACAGCATAAAAGATGACAATTTCTGCACCTGTATATACTCACGGACCCCTACTACAAAACCCAAGCTCTACAAATCTCAAAATCGAAATCTTCCACACGTTGCATACCGAGTATATGTCTGTGCCAAGAACTGTACTCCATCAGCTTCCATCTGGGAGTCTAATCTAATCATCACAATACACCCCAAAACAGCATTAAGACTACTACCACAAATCTAGGTACAAACAACCAGACGAAAAGGGAAAAATGCCTCCCAAATCCAAAAAGGAACCCCCCAAGCCCAAATCCCAACCCGCAAATCAGCCAAAACCCAACTGGCCTCCCCTGCGCCCCCTCATCCCTCCATCAGACCTTTCCCTAGAATCCCTCCTCCACGACCAAATCTACCTGATCCGCAACTTCCTCCCCTCCTCTCTCTGCAAAACCTATGCCTCCTTCCTAGCCTCGCTCCCACTCACCACCACACCCGGCAAACCCAAAAAGGGCGACGCCGTTCGCGTCAATGACCGGTTCCAGGTGCAGGATGCCGACTTCGCGGAGAGGCTATGGAGCGGGACCGCGCTGAGGGAGCTGGTGAGCGGTGCAGTCGATGAGGACCAGGATGGCGACGAGCGCCCGCGCTCAAACAGGGAGATCTGGGGCGGGGAGCCGCTTGGTCTGAATGCGAATATCAGGATATATCGGTATTCGAGGGGCCAGTTCTTCGCGCAGCATTGTATGTTTTTTCTTCCATTAGATCCGTGATGGGGGTAAAGATGAGCTGATGAATTGCAGACGATGACTCGAATGTGGTTACGTTCGAGTCCCCTCAACATAAGCCGCAGCAGGCTCGCACGACCTGGACCCTCCTGGTCTACTTGACAAGCTGCACGGGCGGGGAGACAGTCTTCTACCCTGAGCCGACCCGCGCGAATCGCAACCCGGAGCCTATTGCTGTGGCGCCGGAGGTGGGCATGGCGCTGCTGCATCGGCATGGGGAGAGGTGTCTTTTGCATGAGGGCAGGGAGGTCACCGAGGGCGAAAAGTGGGTTTTGAGAAGTGATTTGGTGGTTGCGCGGTGATGGATGTGAGTCAACTTTTGTCCACATCTCACCTGTTGTTGACGGGATTCTAAGTGCCAGAGGCTGTTGTGCTTACAGAGTTGCTTACTGGCGTGAGACTGGACTTCTCTGGACCCGGTCTGATCATTCAACAAGCGGTATATGCATGCCAAACATTCGTTCAGAAACCAAGCCGATTAGGACTGGCTCATCAACAGCATTCATTGTATATTTTGCACTAGGAAACTATAGAGTCACAATGGTCATCAGACAACCCCACAGAGACATTCTCGAATAGCAACCACTGAGATGTAATGGCAACAGGGACGTTTTCAATGTTTTACCCCCCCAGGGAGAACAGAATGATGGATGCTGGAAGGAGATGAGGCCAAACCCGGTTTCGGCTCACACGAGCATCAGGGTCGCACAAATGAAACGTTATAAAACTTCGTCCTCAGTACAGTGATCCCAACACTTGAAAGGTAATCTACTATGTCGGTAACAAGACAGTGAACCCAAATGATCCATCGGAGAGCTTCTCATGTTCATCGCTTCATATTCCCAAGACCAAGCCTGCCTTTACCTTGTCCGTTGAGCCCAAGAAAGAACGAGTAAACGAGGTACAAGAATAAGAAACTAAAAATGATGATGACCAAGCATGTCTCCACGTAAACCACTTTATCCAATCTATCGGATCGTATCATGAGGGCGAAGGCTTCGCCGAGTATTCGGCCCTTCTCATAATATCCTCCACAGGCCCCAGTAACCGTTTGAACCCATCGCGACCAAGTCGTGCAACCTTGACGTCGGTCTTGGCGACTACGCTAGCGGCACGAGGTTTGTCGTCCAGCAAGGCGAGCTCTCCGAAAAAGTCGCCTCTCTTATACGACTTGACGGGGCCCTCCACGTCCTTCTTGAAAGCTTCCGCCTCCCCGGACTCGAGCAGATAAAAAGCATCGCCTGGAGCGCCCTCCTCGATGATCGTAGAGCCAGCCGGGTATTTAATCGCATCGAGCGCATCGGCAATCTTGGCGCGCTCATAGGGTTTGAGAGAAGAAAGCAATGGCACCTCTTCCAGGAAAGCCTCATACATGCGGCGTCGCTGGAAGGCAGAGTCCATGAGAATCCGGCGGAAAGTGATGCGGTCCAAAGCCCAAAGCGTGCTCTTAGGGTCTGCCGAGACAACAGTCGCGGCTCGGGGTGCGTTGTACATCAAGGCTAGTTCACCAAAAGAGCCCCCAGGACCGATGGTGCTGACCTTGTTGCCCATACCATCGGGGCCTGGTTGGACTGAGCCGGCGGGGTTGATATGGACATCGAAGTGGCCATTCTCCACGATGTAGAAGTAATCACCGGCATCCCCCTGGGAAATCACCTTGATATCTTTTGCAGGAATGGGTTTTTCGACCAAAGCGTCAAGTACAGTCTTGAACTGGTCATCGTCCAGGTGAGAAAACAAGAAGTTGTTGCTCACAGCCGTTTTCAATCGCGAAACCTGTTCTTCGGTCTTGGGATGGCATGGGGGCGTCCAGCTATCTGAGCCAGCAGAGGTAGGATTCAGGGACTCAGCAGATACAGAGGTACGACGGCCCAGCGCATAGTTGTTAGGGAAACCTTGGTTGGCGGCTGCCGTTGGGCGAGCTCCTCCAGGAGGTTCCAGGTGTTCGCCTTGACCTTCGCTCCCCTGACCAAATCCTACATCAAAGGGCCTGTTGAACTGTATTCCTTCACCCCCTTCACTGGAGTCATTGCCTCCAGAGAACGTGTTTCCAGCTGTGGGTGCTGTAGCGGCGGAGTGTGCACTGCGGAAAGTGGGATCGGTTGGTGACGTCACCTCATATTCTTCCTCCTCGGATATCTTCTGAATCGGAGAATACTTGTCGTCTTTTGTGCTGACCTTAAGGAACGGGTTTGTACCCGGGAAAGAAGAGCTATCAGCCATCCTGGGGGCTGCAGGGCCGGAGATGGTACAGCTCCGGCCAACTTTGAAGCGGGGGAGTTAGAGAACTCGGTTGTAGCGGGCAGAGCTGGTGGAAGGACAGAGACGAAAGTGGTCTGTAGGGAGTTAGAAAGCAAGGAAGGTAGATCTCGAGCTCCAATTGGGAAGATAGAGGATGAAAGGTCTTTTATGGAGGACAAATGTCGGGGTTGGAGCAGCAGAAGATGGTGGTGAGGAGGGGCGGGGAGTTGAGAGAGACACACACAGCAGCCGTCTCCGCCAAAGACTGGGTGGGTATCTCAAGGTGAAGCCTAATTGGAGAGTTTAAGACCGCAGCGATCCAAAGATGATCGTATGCTTCCTTCTAGAGCTCCTTCTCTTTGAGTAATGAAAGTAGCAGAACGCGTGATTGCTATTTCCTTGTTTCAATGATCTCAGAGAGTTGAAAGAAGTTGTGTACGCAATTTGKAACAGAAGTATTGAATAAAAAACGACAAACAATAAGTACGACACCGAAGAAAAGGGTAAAAGGATAGTTGAAGCTTGAGAGAAATTGAATAGAGCTACTGACCTAAATTCTGTCTCTTATATTGATGGGTCGCGTGAAGAGTTTCCTGAGAGACGGACGTATGATGACTCTAAGTGAGCCGAGACAAGGATTCAGAGAGACGACACCCGGTAGCCGAGGTGAGATCGTCCAAAGCAGATAGGGGCAGGGGTAGTAGTAGGAGAATGAGGCAAGAGGAAATCGAGGGGAATTCTGAACAAAGTAAAAAAAGGAAGATGGGAAAGGAGCAATACCTAAAAGACTGATCCAGAGGGGTCGCAGAAAGGAGGAGGGGGAGAATCAGTGGAAAAAGGCGGGGAGCAGCAGGATGTGACGGAAAGCTTGCTATGGCTTGTGCTTCTACATATATCCGGAAGTCGATTAATTTCAATAGGAGCAAATCATATTATAAAGCGCTCTTGTTCAAGTGACAAGTGTTCTTCAGCTACCTAGCTACATGCTATAAGGTCTACTCATGATCATCGCGAGGATAGACATGATGGCAAGTCGTCGGCTCCTGCATCACACCAGGTTAGATCGACGTCACGGATTGCCCCCTGCTAGACCATACACTACGCCAATAGTCGATGGTGCGCCTTACAATAGTCTGATCCAGAAGAGACGGTAGGAGGTTAAGGAGATAATAATCAACGCCTAAAAAAGAAGGGATCCATCTAACTGGGTTCTTTTCCTTCTAGTTACCCAAAAAGAAGCTAACAATGAAAATCATGGGACGAAGGTTTCTAGGGAATGTGACTCTCTTCCAGGTGTCTTCTAGAACGTTTGAATGGGGCCTAAAAACTGATTAAGAGTTTAGAAACGTTCCCGAGGACTCCGCTGAGTATCTAGATTGCTGACGTTAGGGGATGAAAAAGGGGGCAACAGAGATAGGGAGAATCCCTATTCAAAAGGGTTAACATATTAACTCTGTAGTCTATGGGCCCTTAGGATGATAACCATCACCCCATTCTTTGGAAACTTGGAGGTGTGTGAAGAAGAATTGTGTGGCGAAAAGCTATCAACACAAGGTTAGTGAGGTCATGAGCACAAACGTTAATAATCGCTGACGTCTGCGACCGGATCTTCATGGATTTCTGGTACCCAAAGTACCCCCCCGAACGTCCCAGCGAAGAGAAGTTCAGTGCATTACATCCGGACTTCTGAGAGCTTTTGGTTCTTCTGAGCTTCCACCCATGGATGGATGTACCGTTACCTAGCTCTTGCTCGAGATAATGGTTGATTGTTACCGAAGATCAAGGTGACATGCTTCTTTCTAAGTTGGGATAGATTTTTCCTGCTTTAGCGTTATTACTGGAACGCTGTGTTTCTTCGAAGGAATCAATCTTTGCGACGTTTACGCCTACTCAAAAAGAGTAGCATGAACTGCGGTGAGTTTAATGCAACAATGTATGGCTCTTGTGTACCTTAGTGTGTACCTTAGTGTGTACCTTAGTGTGGTGTATCCGAGAAGAGTGATGAGTGATGGCCGTTGTGACAAGGTTCCTGCAGCTCAATTTTGAACACCTAATATACCTCAAGAATGCATAGACAACTTCGACAGGAGATTGATTGATTGGTGCATGTACTTTATAAAAGATGCGCCTGTTAAAAATTGAGGTCTTATTACTAAAGGGTATTGAGACTGGACTGTCAATTTTCATTAAACTTGTCCTGCCACTCCACCGAGACTACTGCTGCACAGTGAACAGGCAGTACAAAGCACGTACTGTCTTTGCCCCCGAGTGCAGCCCAATCACTGATGAGTTGTACAAGGTTAATTATGATAGGAGGGGGGGGGAGCACATAAAAGACATCTCTTCCGAGACCAAACATACCTCGTGGATCTCCCAGACAAGAAGCATGTCTCGCCTAGTTATAGCTTTTAAATCACCGAATTGATTCGTTCCCGTTTGGAATAAAGCGGTCTACATGGACTCTTCATACCTCAAGCTAAGAACCGGGTAGTTCATAAGAGAAGCGAAAAGTTCGACTGCCAATTGTCATTGATGCTATCGAGGCCTATCAGAATCCTTGATTGAGGCCGACCGAATCGCCCAAAAGGTCTGTGTCACCGCCACCCCGCTCCAAGTTAAAGCTCTAGATCCCCCGGCGAAAAAAAAGGTGGTCACTGTGCTCGATTTTTCCAGCCTCTCAAATATCCAATATCTCATAGCTTGGCTGAGAGCCAAAGTACAAGACAAAGAAAATATAAAGAGGATCTCTGTCAGCCAGTGTGTCGGCACGTTCAATAAAACGCGCAACGCGGAAATTGAGGATCCCTTGCTTCTACAGCTGCGGCAAGTCTCTGCGCAACCCAGCGGAGTACTCATTCGTCCAACTACCATACATCGCCGCCAGTCTACAGTGTATGTCTACGTCGGGCTGGAAGATGGGAAGCTACACGTTCCGATGGTGAGTCAATGGCAAATTTCCTTTCTTAAATCCCGTAGAATTTGAGCTTTCTTTTTTAGCTATGGTCTACTGCGCCCCAGGCGATCAACCCCTACGTTGATGGCTAAAGTCGGGAACTCGGTACACGGATAACCGTTTGTGGATTTGATCGCTGACTGGTTTCTCGCACATGGCTTGATTATAGGCCACACCCGGCGAACGAGGTATTTGTCACAGGCAGCTTTGATGATTGGGGTAAAACGGTGAAGTTGGATCGCAATGGCGATGTCTTTACGAAGGAGGTTCAACTTCCATCTGCAGACGAGAAAGTGCATTACAAGGTAAGTAGCGATCTGAGATCATTTTCTTTTACCATACACTGCTGTACTTTCTTTCAATCAGATTCAACGTCTGTCAATTTGTTGCAGACAGCTCCGGACAACCGTATTATTGCATGGATCTTTTCTGTCTGCCTAGGCATCCCCATCCCCTCAATGACGCTGGAAGGCTTTCCGCTTACTTCCACTGACGTCATATCACCGCCTCGCTCGCACCTTGGTTTCTTTGGCTCGCCCATCTTCCAGTTTTTAACTTATAAGACAACACCTTCAACGTTAGATTGTCTCCTGTTGTGGACTCAACTAACGAATTTCTTCTGATTATAAAAGTTCGTCGTCGACGGCATTTGGACGACGGATAGCACTGCTGCTGAAGAGGACGACGGAAGCGGGAATATCAATAACGTTCTCTATCCCGGTGAACTTAAACAAGCACCAAATTCTCCACAAACCAACGGTACCACAATGGCGACTGTTACTCCAGAAGTGACCGAAGCGGCAGTAGCGGCCGGTATTCACAAGGATACCCAGAAGAAGGCCAATGAGGCAACCATCTCATCCGCCGCCCCTGAATCGACAACTGCAGATCTTGCCAAGGCTGTTCCCCTTGAACAGCGATCCAACGTGCCCGGTACTTTCCCAGAGACTCCTGGACAAGAATCAGAGACATTTTCAGTCAACCCTATCCCGGCTTCTGGTACCAGCGGCAACCCAATCAGTCTGAAACCTGGTGAGAAGGTACCCGACCCCAGCACTTACACCAGCAACACCGTCCAGTCCACTGCTCGGACAGATCCTGCCGGCTACGCACAGGATCCCAGTGCTGCTACTCTTCTCGCGGGCCAGTCGACGAGCCAGCCGACGAGAGCCGGTGACCTCGCAATGCCTCCTGTTTCCAGCAGCATGATCCCTGAATCAAGCCTTCCCATGGGTGAGCCTAGTCAGGGATTCAGCGCTCCTGGTGTTACCATACAGTCTGCAGCACCCACCTCCACAACTGCCGCTCTTGCTGCTGCTGTCCCACTCGAGTCCCAGAGGCCCCACGCGAACGCTGGGGATGTAGCTGATGAGGTTCCGAAAGTCGTCAGGGAATCGATCGCCGAGGCCCATAGATACCCCGAGGCCGCTGCAAATAAGGAGGCTGTCCAAGAGAAGAAGGAAATGGAGGAAGAACTTCAAAGACGAGTCGCCAAGGAAGAGTCCACTGGTACACCTGCTCCGAGCACCACTGCTGGTATTGGTTCAACTCAAACGAACGGCGGAGCACCTGCAGATGAAGTGCCTGAACCAGTGAAGCACTCCATTGCCGAAGCTCACAAGGACCCCGAGGCCGCTGCTAATCCAGAGGCCGTCGAGGAGAAGAAGGAGATGGAGGATGAGCTGCAGAAGACAGTCCCCAAGGAAGAACATGCCGGCGCGCCTGCTCCCACCGCCTCTGCCGCCACCACTGAGACCGCTCCTCGAGCCACAGGCGTTGAGCCTGAGTCGCAGCCAATGTCTCCCGGTGCTGACACCCCTCAGGGTCCTACTGTTACCACCGGTGTTGCTTCAGCGAAGGCCCCGGAAGTTTCTGGTCCTGGAGCTGCTCCTGGAGCTGGTGCCAGAACCGGACAAAATGAGGGCTCCACAACCCTCATGCCTAGCTCAATTCCCGATAAAGCTTCCGCTCCTTCTGAGCCCCAGACCGCTCCCCCGTCGGGCCCATCACAACCTACGGCTGCTCCCGC